GTACAATGTAAAGATGTACTAATGAGATATATACTTATAGTACATCTTTACATTGTACATGAACAGTTCACTTCCGTCTCAGTTCACTTCCTGAGTTATATACTTATAGTACATCTTTACATTGTACATGAACAGTTCACTTCCTGAGTTATATACTTATAGTACATCTTTAAATTGTACATGAACAGTTCACTTCCTGAGTTATATACTTATAGTATATCTTTACATTGTACATGAACAGTTCACTTCCTGAGTTATATACTTATAGTACATCTTTACATTGTACATGAACAGTTCACTTCCTGAGTTATATACTTAGGAACTGAATTTGACAGCCAAACATACTCATTTGAAGAGAATATGGATCTAGACCTACCTCATTTGATGGATGATGGTGGTGGTATGATGTAAGCAGGAATAACCATTGGTGAACTTACCAACCCCTACATCCTATGGAATGGTACCAGTCGTGATAGGAAATACATTCTACGACCCTTTGTGTTTCCATATGTTACTTTAATTGACCCTGCATTCAGCCTAATAGATGATAGACACCCAGCCCCACTGTGCCAAGTTGATTGACAGATTTCTCGGAGAAGAAGAAACTGACCAAATAGAATGGTCATCGTTGTCATTGATCATCTTAGTACCATCAGTCATGTGTGGGGTATTCTTGGAAGTAGCATTTCATTTCATCAAATGCCTCCAAACACTAAAAGTGGACTAAAAACACCTCTCTCAGGTAGTGGTGGGAGTAACTCACAATTTTGTCAACACTCATATACCTCGGTAAGTTTACGGACTTGCAATGCTAAAATCCGGAGATCGGTAGCTCAATGTGGCTTTGCTTTAAAACAGTCAATAAAACTCTCTATGGTGACTGTACTCAACTGATGAACAATAAAACTGGTTTTAAGGGTGCATCACAGTTGGCAGGCTACATATGCTCTCTGTGGTGACTGTACCCAACTGATGAACAATGAAACTGGTTTTAAGGGTGCATCACAGTTGGCAGGCTACATATGCTGTCTATGGTGACTGTACCCAACTAATGAACAATGAAACTGGTTTTAAGCGTGCATCACAGTTGGCAGGCTACATATGCTCTCTGTGGTGACTGTACCCAACTGCTGAACAATGAAACTGGTTTTAAGGGTGCATCACAGTTGGCAGGCTACATATGCTCTCTATGGTGACTGTACCCAACTAATGAAACAGTGCATTGAAAGTAAGGTAATTTGGACATTATATTGAACTAGCTACCATGTTATACTTATTACTTGGTGTATATTTTCAGTTCTGATCTATGCAGGTAGCATGCTTTGAATTTGGTTGTTGTTCAGTACAAAGCTATACGATGAGCTTTTGTGCTCTTCCCACCACTGGTATTAAAACCCGATTTTTAACGTCCTAAGCCTGCAGATTTACAGATGAGTCACTGGGCAGAAGTTGACTTCAAATAGTTTGTGTTGAAATTAAAGGTCATGAACCGTAAAAATATAAAAACCTTATCTACCAACTGTTTATTTACGAGCTTATGCTGAATGACCATTTCTGTTTCAGATTACATGACTGACCATCAAGTGTCCTGATTAAAAGAAGTTGTGGGGCGGGGGGGGGGCGTTTGATATTATAACAGCGGTTCTTCCAAAGCTACGAATTACGATTGTCTTTGTTTCGAGCAGTGTATTTATCTTTAGGCTTGGTAAACATATTCTAGTCAACAACTAACATCTGTATTAAGCTAATCGAAATTACCAATAATCAATTAGCGAAAGGAAACATCACGCGCTGATTATTTGTATGTCAACGAATTGTGTACTTGAGAGACTCGTGGTGGTGTTACTCCTGCTTACTTACCACTAGCCGTTTACTGCGTGGTAAAAGCACGTGCTTGTTCACGTACATGCATTCTACACGTATATAGTTATAACAACAGAACGTGCTTGTTCCCTCCACTTGACACGAGCAAGACCTTGAATTACTATCGCTTTCCTTATCTACTGTACGATTAGATATATATGTGTATGAAGACACGTGCGTAAAACTTGGAAGAAAATAGTATTACGCCTCTAACAAATAAAGATATACGTTAAAGACGAAGAACTGTCATTACCTACACATCTAAATATAAATAAGTTAATGCGATTTGATCAAAATATTATTCTATTTTCGCATTCAGTAAGCTCAACTTACCCTAAATATTATCAAGTTTTTGCCACGCTAACAATCTGAGCTCTATTGAATTTTATGAACAAGATCTCTTCCGACAAATGATTTTGTTTTCAATATATTTTTTTTCCAGTAATAGATAACTCAGACTTTCCAGGGAATTGATTTTTCTTGATTGTGTATTGTGTTTTCCCGACGATGGACCTTCAATGGCTCAGCGGTAAGTCTGATGGTTTATAACTCTAGAAACCGGGTTTCGATACCCGTGATGGGCACAGCACAGATAGCCTATTGTGTAGCTTTGCGCTTAACAACAAACAATTCAGGTGGATACCGAGACGACGTGTATATGCTATCTAGATGTATTGCAGTGATTTCCAAATGTTTCGGTTTTCGGACCACCTGATTTTTTTATTATTATTATCTTGACAGATCAGAGTGTAATCTAAACACTATACTCCTCTTAGTTTTCCGTAACCATGGAAACATTCGACGAACTACCTTGAAGGGAACTATAGACACAGATTGAGAACCCTTGGCCTACTGAATGCTGGCATGGCGTTTTAATGAAATTCATCCTAACTGGCAGCGTATTCAAATAAATGTAATTATTATCAGTAATTTATCTAACTTCGAGGTGTTTTGGAGATCTGGGCCACCCCCCCCCCCACCCCCACACACACTCATAAAATATTAAAGCAAGTGTTTTGAAGAACTTTTGAAAGTTTCATGCATGGTGATCAGACGTTGGAGCCCGGCATAGCCAGGGGGTTTGGGCACTCGACTCGCAATCTGAGGGTCGCGGGTTCGAATCCCCGTCACACCAAACATG